ATTTTCATGACTCATTGTTGGAACAAAATGTATACCTGAGAAATGCATATTATTATACGTGATTAGCCACATCTAATGTTTAGTATGAAAAGGTAAGTTTGGATTCAAGAAAAAATATAATTACTTTTCCACCATGACTTTTTTCCCCAAACATGGCTTAATATGGGTTTGTATTTTTATAGCAAAGAGATATTAAGTGAGAAATGGCACCATTTGGTTAAAAATTATCTTAGTTTTTTACTCCTTTCGCCTAATTCGTAAAGAGAATGCTCCCAGTGCCCATGTCACAGAGTAATAAATTTCTAATCATTTCAGTTATCTCAGATTCCCTTTTCTGATTCTGCCATATCTATTTTAAAAGATTTGCACCCTGAAATTTTCTACTTTTATTAGATTTGTTCCTAATGCCATTTTGCAAGACATCTACTACTCTGGAGATCCCCATTTGGATGTTTCTTTTTCTGGCTGACTCCTGGGGGAGGCAGGTGGGGGAGGGCAACTTACAGTCACAGTGTTAACCCTTCACGGTACAGAAGACTTGCTAGCCACCTTCCCCAGTCTAAGTCATGCTGTTTCTTAATTCCAAGCTAAAGCTCAAAGGTCTAAACTAATTTCACAGATCAGAGGTCAGGCCCGAATTGCTGCAATTCGTGGTTCAATTCTGCCGATATGACAGAATTTCACAGCTATGATGATTGCCTTTCCCCCCTTTGCACACAGGCCAGGCGGTGCAGTTAACAGCGTAATTTGTGCAAGTTAGCTCTTGCCACCCAAGTTTAATGAGTAACTAGCTGGTGCCTGAGGTTTCCCTGGTACAAGGTGCATAATACAAAAGGGGCCAAATGTCAACGCACCAAGATGGAAGGGGGAGGGGAGCGATAATCTCATAACTACCCTCTATGAATCCTAAGATTCAGTAATTTGTGTTTATCTTTAAAATTACATTTCCATGGCGTGAATGTTGGCATGTCCATTTTCTCTGCTACTGAAAGAGGTAGATAATTTTGTTAAATGTTTGTAAGCAAGGACTGTCTGATGAGAGATTGGCTAACCAGTAGGAAGTAAAATTACAGGTTCATTTTCTCATTTTCTCAATTTTTCTAAAATGTGACAGTTTTGTAAAAAATCTAGGGAACAAATAGGACTACCAAGTATTTCTGAGCCTGATATTCATGCACATCTGATCTATTCTACTCTTCACCCATAAAATTGAACTATCTTTATTTCTAACCCAGGTTGAGAATATCTTTACTGTTTGTAAGTTGAATATTGGGCCTCTTGAAGAAATTCTTCAATGGCCTTGACAGTTCACGGATTTGCTGTTTAGTTGTGATGCCTCATGGTAACTCTGAAGCTGCAGTATAGTCTAGACACAGAGGATCATTTGTCGTTTTTGTGGTAACACAAATGTGAACTTTCTGCTCTTCCAAATGGGAGAACAGAAGTAACAGCCATAGAATGCCTGGCTTTGAATCCCGACTTGATCACTTCTAGCTAAGGGATCTTACCAAATGGGCAGCTTCATGCTCCGTGGGTTCTGCTGTAGAACTTGCCTCCTGAAGTTTTAGCAAGGATTAAATAAGATGATGTCTGTGGAATGCTTAGCACAGTGCCTCGTGCATAATCAATACAAATGTGTTCACTGTTCCAGCCATGCTTCATATTATTAAATAGCTTGGGTTGCAGATTTAGCTAAGCCCACCCTGTCCGCCATTCCAACATGGTTAAAGGTTGGTCTTTGTTCATTTCATGAGGGACACAGCTATGACATAGTTGAATAAGGCGATTTGAATGTCAGGGGAAGTGTATTTCAGCTTGCTCAATGTCAAGTGCAACACCCTTTTAGATGCTATCTTTTTTCCTTCGCTGATTTGCTGTCACATGGCAAAAGCTATAAAAGGAGATAAATCCAAATTATCTGGTTTCCTTTGAGAGTTCTGTTCATTCTACCAAGTAGTGAGAAACATTTGAGCTTTTAATAAGATCCATAAATGTTACCTTACCAGTGGGCTAAATTCTGTCCTTGATAATATATAATATTATACTTACTAGAATTCATGCTTTGCAGAAATGCCAGAAATGAAAATATTATAGTGATTTTTAAAAATTCTGTTTTAAAAAATTTCATTCCTATGGAATGTAAAAATAGCATTTGAATAAAAGCATGATTTTAACTATTCATGACAATATAATAATTATGTGCTTAGAATTGAAAAGGTAGTAACAATGCCTCACATTCATTAAATAATTAAGCTCCTACAATGGGCTAGGATGGGGTTTGGGGCACTAGGATTATAGTTGGGAGTCAGATCTAGATTCTGCCCTGGTGGACTTAAAAATGGACTCAGGATGACCCCTGAGCAATTACAGTGAGGTTATTTATTTATTTATTTTTGCAGTTTTTGGCTGGGGCCGGGCTTGCACCCGCCACCCTACAGTAAGGTTAAACCAAATAAAATTGTCAACATTCTACTGTTTTTTTGTCCCACAAAATGGTACTTTTCTATGGTTCAGTCGAGTACTGTGAAGGATTATTTGATGCTGGAGGAACAAATCTCAGAGGGCTCCAGGGATGGCTTCCTCGGAGGAGTGAATTTGGAATGGGTGCCAGCTGGCGAGGCAGGGTTTGGTGACAGTTTGAAGCTGGTGACAGCGCCTATAAGATAGAAAGTGACATAGACGAGGCTGTAGGTGGACCTAGAGTGTTCCTCAGGGGCTTTTATGAAGGACATTGACTTTAAGGGCAATTGGAAGAGAATGTGGGCGGAAGGTTAAGCAGGAGGGCTTAGGACCAAATTATTCTCCCTCTGTCATTCCAGCTAGAGGACAGTGACATCATCATAGCTTAACTCTCAGTTTCAAGCTGTCCTCCTGCCTCAGCCTCCTGAGTGGCTGGGACTATTCGCCCGGCTCATTTCTATTTTTGGTAGAGACGGGGTCTCACTCTTGCTCATGCTGATCTTGAATGCTAGGCTTAAAATGATCCTCCCACCTCAGTTTTTCAGAGTGCTAGGATTATAGGTGTGAGCCACCATGCCTGGCCCCAAATTATTTGTTAAAAGGTGGAGACCCAGATCGATTGTCATGGGCCACGGTGGGCAGGATGAAGTCAGCTGAGACTATTGCAGGTATCCAAGCAGGAACAGGTGGTTGGCAGTTTACAGGATGCTTCCTAATGTTGTATCTTATCTGATCCTTGTAAGGCCCTCACCTGAGTTACTGGCATCAGCTTCAGTGTATGAGTGAGGATGATGAGGCTCGGAAAGTTACGTGGCCTGTCCATGGTCATACCATGCAGGTTGCAGAGTGAGAATTAGAACTCTGGTATCCGGCAGCCTTAGGCCTATGTATTAACATCCCTGGGTGTGGCCAATTGGTTTATCATAAGAAAGGGTGGGGGAGGGGTTGTTGTTAGAGACAGGGCTTCATTATGTTGTCCAGGTTGAAGTGGATTGGTGGGTGAGATCATAGCTCACTGAGGCCTTAACTCCTGGGCTCAGGTGATCCTCCCACCTCAGCCTCCTTTAGTATCTAGGAGTTACAGGTGTGCATCACTATATGCCCAGCTATTTCTTTAATTTTTTATAAGGATGGGGTCTTGCTGTGTTGCCCAGGCTGGTCTTGAATTCCCAGCTTCAAGTGATCCTCCTATCGTGGCCTCCCAAAATAGTAGGATTACAGACATGAGCCACTGCTCCTGAAATGGATCTCTTTTAAAGAAATAGAAATCTCGGCACCTGTGGGTCAAACAGCTAGGGCGCCAGCCACATACACCTGAGCTGGCAGGTTCGAATCCAACCCAG